GTGAGGTGTGGATCTTGCTTGAGTCTTCTGCAGATAGCCTTCCAATTTTGCCAGCACCATTTGTTAAAAAAGATGTCACTTTCCCACTTAAACTGATTTTATCTACTTGTCAAAAGTCAGTTGACCATAGGTAGATGGGCTGATTTCTGGGTTCTCAATTCTATTCCATTGATCTATGTGTCTGTCATTGTACCAGTACCATGCTGTCTTAACCACCACGGCAGTGTAGTAGGATTTGAAATCAGGGAGAGAGATGACTCCCACCTTTTTTCTACTTTTAAGGGGTGCTTTGCTTATTCAGGGCTTCTTTCCTTTCCATATGAAACTGGAGATTACCTTTTTCATCTCGTTGAAGAATGGGATTGGTATTCGTATTGGGACTGCATTGAACGTTTAAATTGCCTTTGGTAGTATTGCCATTTTCACAATACTGAGTCTTCCTATCCATGGGCAAGGGATATTCCTCCACTTCTCCAGGTCTTTTTGTTTCTTGTAATAATGTTTTGTAATTTTCTTTGAATAGATCCTTTGTGCTTCTGGTTAGATTTACTCCCAAGTATTTAATCTTGTGATTAGCTATTGTGAAGGGTATTGTTTTTCTTAGCTCCAGCTCTGCATTCTCTTTGTCACTGCAGAGAAATCCAACTGATTTTTGTATGTTGATCTTGCATCCTGCTACTTTGCTGAATTGGTCAACCATGTCCAATAGTTTTCTTGCTGAGTCTTTAGGGTTTTCTAAGTATACTATCATATCATCTGCATAGAGAGATAATTTTACTTCCTCTTTGCCTATTTGGATTCCTCTTATTTCCTTTTCTTGTTTTATTGCTACTGCCAAGCCTTCCAATACAATATTGAATAGGAGAGGTGATAATGGGCATCCTTGCCTAGTTCTGGTTCTTAACGGGAATGCCTTTAGCCTCTCTCCATTGTTGGCTTTTGGGTTTGTGTATATACTATTTACTATGTTGAAGAAATTCCCCTCTAATCCTATTTTGCTAATTGTTTTAATCAGGGAAGGGTGTTGGATTTTGTCAAAGGTCTTTTCTACATCAATTGATAGGATCATGTGGTTCTGGTTCTTTGCTTTGTTGATGTGATGAATTACATTGACTGTTTTTCTTATGTTGAACCATCCTTGCATCCCTGTTATGAATCCCACTTGGTCATTTATATTGGAATTATATTTTTTTATGTATCGTTGGATTCTATTGGCCAGGATTTTATTCAGGATTTTTGCATCTATGCTCATGAGAGATACTGAGAATCCCATCTTTTTCTATTTTCTGAAATAGCTTATGCAGGATTGGTAATAGCTCTTCTGTGAATATCTGATAAAATCCACTTGTAAAGCTGTCTGGTCCAGGGCTTTTTTTGGCTGCAAGTTGTTTTATTACCTTTTCAATTTCTTCTTTTGCAATGGGTCTGTTCAGGTGTTCAATTTCGGTTGGTGTCAGTTTAGGTAGGTTGTGCATCTCTAAGTACTTGTCCATTTCCTCTAGGTTTTCATATTTTTTGAGTACAATGTTTCATAATAATCCAATATTAGCCTTTTTTAGTTCGTTC